AAATCTATCATGAGTGGTAAGCCTAGAAATTAACCTTGTTAGTAAGTTAAAATTCACTACACCGTGTCGCAGACTATTTGTAGCATTCCTGTTTTTTTTTGCGAGTGATTTCGGATAAGACTGGGCAATGCCCACCAGCAGGTCAGGAGGGCATGGTAAAGCGTATTGGACAGAATTAAAGATTGATTACAACAGATTGAAACTAGGCACAATCGCGGGGTACGGGAAGTAAACGTGAATGCATGAAGGCATAGGTTAAAGAACGTCTCAGAAAACAGAGGTACGAACACCGAAGATCATTCTTTTTATGCGTCACCATAAGTCTACTGGCCAGCATTTTCGAAAAGTGGGTTTATGCCATGGCACCCACGAACCCGTTTGTGTAGATATATACGTGAAGGGATGAGATAGCATTTAACAAACCAGTTTTTGGCGTCGTTTTTCGTGGAACGGAGGAAGACTAGGAATAAAAAGGAGCAGTTTTCAACCTCAATAAATCCATCAGTGAAGCATTAAAAATCTTGCGTTTTGTCTTCAGCTATGCGGAAGGCTATGAGCAGCAAGAAACTGACGTCAAATCTGGCCCTGATTGACCGTTTTTCGTATCGCGGACTAAAAGGGGGGAGGGGGGGGGGGCGTGATACGAGGCACCTGACGTTTTGAACATAATGAAGATAGAGCTTAGCAAAAGATACTAGTGAATTGGTCTCAACGAGATATCGCGATTAGTACCTGTTTTAATGTTGTTTGGTCAGCAATTGATCCAATTACGCCAGGTCAAAGGTCGAACTTTCCAGAAAATCGCGCTTCTTCAGTATTACAACATCATACCTACGAGACCATGCGTTATGGCGACATGAAACTCAAACAGACGCACTTCGTGTTCAATTCTGAGTGCAACTGAATATCTTTGTATGCGTTTTGAGCATACGTTTGTGGTATATAGCCTTGTTAACATAATAATGTCGGCACGCCGCGCGTGTTCCGCGATTCTGCATCATCGCAAAATTGTCCAAAGGTTGCAAGCAATGGTAAATGATCATCTGTGGGCAAGACACGGATCAAAGATAATCCTCGCGCTCATCATGTATGCATACACGAACATGAACATTGCAACGTGGCCGAAATTGACGCTTTGCCGGGGACACGATTTATTGGGGACAATGGACAGGTATGGTAGCTAGAACCACGGCCACATCGTAGAACAATCTTACCAGTTGAAGACTACATCGGCATTGTACATGCATCGTCGGGGTCGTCTGGGCATGTTACTGTTAATACTAAAACAACCCTAATATGTATCCCAATAACGCGTCCATCACTTGTGAAAGATTACTCGGGGTAGCCGAACACTAGTCAACACGGGATAAACAGCTGGAATGGTGGCAAGGGGCAGTCAAATTTCTATTCAGTGGTGTAGGAAACGGCCGTGATACAGAGATGGCTTTAACGGGGCTAGAACAGTTTTGGGTACGGGGAATTATCTGGTCAGTGGGAAGGAGCATTCGGCGAGCGTAAATCATTTTCCCGCACTTAGAGTGAATGTTCCGTCTTTGAAGGTGTTCAAGTGGGTACAAGATATGATTAAATAAATTTGTTATGACGGTTGTTATAATTCAAAGTGGAAAAGACAGCTCTTGGTAACACAAGTTCTTATCTTCGTAAACATCCTCCTTAATACGTCGTTGTTTGATCGCGTCATGGAACGTTTGCATGACAGCAATCACTTGTAGTTTTCCAATCTCCAGAGAAATAGCATCATGAGCTGGAAGTGCTGAATGAGCCAAATATTGTTATGTGCTCACACTTTGGTTGTTTCTCGCTGTGTTCTTGCACAGTTTACAGCACAGTCGGTGAGTTACAGATGTTAACTTACATTCACATGTATGGCTATGGCCCTATTCTCAAGTTATTCGATTTTAAGCCTTATTTCCGTAAAAACTAAGAAAAATGCACAACTCCTTGTATTACGAAGCACAAAACGCAATTCATGTTAGGCATCCGACGCTCACATCCTCTTTTCTTGCTTTATGCTGAATCTTCCCGACGCCCAGGCTGCAGGCTGCATGCGTCAGCACGAGCGGGGCGAGAGGCCTCCTGAAAAAGAGACCCCGACCGGGCGCCCTGCGCACGCTCCGAGGGATTCCTGCACAGCACGAGCGGGCCAGAAGGCCTCCTGAGAAAGGGGCTCCGACCGGGCGCCCGGCGCACACTCCGAGTGATCCCTGCACAGCACAAGCGGGCCGAAAGGCCTCCTGAGAAAGGGGCTCCGACCGGGCGCCCGGCGCACACTCCGAGTGATCCCATGCACAGCACGAGCGGGCCGAAAGGCCTCCTGAGAAAGGGGCTCCGACCGGGCGCCCGGCGCACACTCCGAGGGATCCCATGCGCGGCACAAGCGGGCCGAAAGGCCTCCTGAGAAAGGGGACCCGGACCACCGAGCGCCCGGCACACACTCCGAGTGATCCCATGCACAGCACGAGCGGGCCGAAAGGCCTCCTGAGAAAGGGGCTCCGACCGGGCGCCCGGCGCACACTCCGAGTGATCCCCGCACAGCACAAGCGGCCGAAAGACCTCCTGAGAAAGGGGCTCCGACCGGGCGCCCGGCGCACACTCCGAGTGATCCCATGCACAGCACGAGCGGGCCGAAAAGCCTCCTGAGAAAGGGGCTCCGACCGGGCGCCCGGCGCACACTCCGAGTGATCCCATGCACAGCACGAGCCGGCCGAAAGGCCTCCTGAGAAAGGGGCTCCGACCGGGCGCCCGGCGCACACTCAGAGTAATCCCATGCACAGCACGAGCCGGCCGAAAGGCCTCCTAAGAAAGGGACCCGATCGGGCGCCCAGCACACACTCCGAGGGGTCCCTGCGCAGCGCGAGCGGGCCGAGAGGACCACTGGGAAGGGGACCCGGACCAGGCGCCCAGCGCACACTCCGAGAGATCCCTGCGCAGGTATAAGCTCGGTGGTTGGCTTCCCAGGTGCGTGCAATCCTGTCCTACCGTTATCCATTTCTCTTCATCCCGCAGCCCTATAATGATCATTTCTGGTCGAAAGGGCTCTAATCCAAGCAAGCAAACAACCAAATCGTGTTAGAATCTTGCACAGCCTGCACAACATTAGTTGAGAGCCAATTCACGACCGTATATCTGGAAATCATGCTCTCGAACACCAGATATGACTGACTCGACAATTATATTTTATTGGGCTTGAGCGCCGCGTGACCATCGAATTGGCGGAATCTGAACGCCGTCACTATGGCGTCATATGTACCGGGTAACCTTAAAAGAGTCTGCACGGACTGGTCTGCGACATCGTCGAGAGTGTGTAACTCAGAAACTGGAGGGCTTCAGGTCTTAAGAAAGACAGGGCTATAGACTGCACTGAATGATCTTTAAACTGATTCTTTCAGTCCAAAACCCGATACAACTGTGGAACACCCCGTTTAAGATAAGTCGTGCAGGCTAGATCCTGTAGGCACTGCCGCGTGTATTGATATGTTACACCTCGGCATGGGGTTGATCATCCCTGGTATGGATGCTCTCCGATCCAGCAACTGTTAAACGTGTTGAGGACTATGGGTGAATCCACATAAGTTGATTAATGATAATAAAAAGGCATTGGATCCTCAGTGAAACTGGCTTTGTGCACCCCAAGCCATGACTGCAAAGATACCACCCTACAGCTAAGCGAGCGCAGGACAGTTTTCATGACACCGGCGCAGTGATACGGGAGACTGGGCAAGTTGATTCGTGTTTTATTTAGCGATTTTCCGCACGTTCTTTCGTGATACTTTGTTGTTTTTGATTTTGTTTAAAGTGATGGTTCGTGCATCTAGTAAAATCAATCTCACCGTAACATTTTTGGCTATTTTGATATTATGGTGGGTATAGGGGAAGAAGTAAGTGTGAAAATATTCCGCGTACAAGGACAAGTTGCTACAAGTCCTTATTCCAAGTCCAAGTCCTTTCCACAGCATCCCATTTGAGCGTGATATTAAAATGATCTTGAATTTTGATTTTCAACCAAAATTATGGCAAAAGCACAACCGGCAAATGATTTTCATTGCTTGAAAGAGGAAGTTGCTCAATGACCAATGGCATGATAGAATATGACCACTTGTAAAAAGCCGTTGAAAGTACTGATGATGGCCACAGGACGCACTGTAGGTCACACACAGGGACAACAGACCTGTGCACGAGTCGTGACATGTCCAAAAGGTACCTTTTACTTCCGACCTCATTCTCAATGGTTCAAGCACACCACTCCTTCAGATATTCCTGTAGATCACCACAAAGCAAACCTCATTCAATAGTCTGACAAAACATTCAGGCTACTTTAAAAGCAATATACGAAGGCAAGCCGACGGATTAATCTAAAAGTGGAACATCCGTAAAATCTTCCCAAAATCAAATTCCACACGTCCTTGTATCAAAACGTTCCCATGCGCCACAGCTCAATTAGTATGCCGGATTGCGGTGGGCATATTAGGCGCTCTTTTTATATGCATACTGAGGTTTTCTGTCATCTAGTTCCGATGTATGGCAATCACCCCAAGTGACAACTAGTCTCGCTCCCCTCCCCTTCCCCCATTGTGTTCGAGTTGTGAAGTCCAAGGCGGCTGCGACGGCTCGTCACACGCACGTGACGGTTCGTCATCCCCTCGCGTCACTCAAAATCGCAAGCGTCTCCTCTCGAAAACATCAGGTCATGCGTAAGAAGCTCTCATCATCTCATCATCTCACATCTGCATTGTTCCCCTCCCAGATGCACGGCTTGTCGCCCGCGGCCATGTCACGCAGCCAGGGGTCACCTGCGCACCCTGAGCGTGACCTGGTCAGCGGCGATAGTTAGGGGTCGGCGGGACCGCCCTGTTCACCCGCCGTGACGTCCGCGGTCGTCACCCCGCCGGCGGACGCCCCTGCACCTGCGTCGGCGCCGGCGCCGGCAGCGTCGTGGACGACTCCACTTATAAGGACGGCCGGCCGGTGTCAGTAGCGGAACACGACCGGTGCTCGCAGCGTGGTAGGCTCGCATCGTGACCGTACCGTGCCCGCCGCCACCTACCCAACACACGGCTACCATGTACAAGGTACGCCCTGTCGCGCAGCTGTCGCCGTGTGCCGTGTTCTACTTACCCCGTGCCGGATGTCTGAGTACGCTACCTCCTGAGCCAAGTGCGTTCACTTCTGCTCAGAGTATGCTCCCTTCTGCTCTGAGCGCGCTCCCTTCTGCTCTGAGTGCTTTCATCCTGCTCTAAGTGCGCTCCCTCCTGCTTTGAGTACGCTCACTCCTGCTTTGAGTATCTCTCTCCTGCTCTGAGTAACTCTCTCCTGCTCTGAGTGCGCTTCCCCCTGCTCTGAATGCGCCCCCTCCTGCTCTGAGTACGCTCCCTCCTGCTTTGAGTACGCTCACTCCTGCTCTGAGTATCTCTCTCCTGCTCTGAGTAGTTTATTCCCGCCCCAAGCACGGTCCCTCCAGCTCTAAGTACACTAACTCCTGCTCCAAGCGCGTCCTCTTCCTCCCTAAGTGCGGTCTCTTCTGTTCTGAGCACGCTCACTCCTGCTGTGAGTACTTCCCTCCTCCTTTCAGTACACTCCCTCCTGCTCTACGTACGCTCCCCTCCCTTCTGTTCTGCGCATGGCCTCTCCTGTCTCGCAGGCTGCAGTCGCAGTCGTGTATCCTGTTACCTTTGTTCTGAACAATGTTGTGATAGGGGTTTTGTTGGGTCCCTGCTGCTAAACTTGATGTGTTGTTGTTAAGGAATGTTCCAGTCCGTAGTGTGCCTGGTGAAGGCTCGGGCAGCGTCGATATCTTCGGAAGCCTCATACAATGCTTGATTGGAGATAGTCATGACATGTACGACGGATACACAGGCAGTTTGATAACTTGTGTGTTGACAACGGGCTCCTGTCATCCCTTCAGCGGCCGTAGGGCTACTTATTCCAGTGACGTCATCAACTCCGCGCTGCGAACGATGCCGCAGGCCAAGCGAGGATTAACGTCAACTAACCGGACATTTTGTAGCCCCAGGCCTGGCCTGGCCTGGCCTGGCCCAGCCATTCCCGCTTTAGACCGCGTTCACCTTTGCAACGATCGTACGGTCTTGCAGTTTTTCAGCAACAGACGGAACAATTCCCTCTCAGCTCTTGGCAACTAGACGGGATATTGGCCTGAAGCCTAAATCACAGTGTAGGCGAATGCACTGTCCCAAAAATCACTAGATAATGCAATGCCGGCCTATCCGTGGTTACGTCTTTGATAGACGGGGAAGCGGCCGATAGCATACTCTATTAAAGCAGCCTCGAACACAAAATGCTGTGGCCTAACCGAAAGAGGGTGGGACACGACAGCAGCAAAGCTGTGTGGCCTAATGTGTTATGACCAATACTCCCCCGAACATTTGTATTTCAAGCGCCACTTTGGTCACAATGGCCAAAAACACAAGACATTTCAAATTGGTCGATTAAGATTGCTAGGCCCCGCCAGGCCCAAGGCAACCAATGTTCCAGCGACGTGACTCATGAACGTGTGCAGGAAAGCCAAGCGACGCTGCAGCTTCGTATCCGCTAAACTCGTGGGAGAAGTTTACTCCAATGCATCTAAAAAACAGGTGTATGGGCTCCTGGGGAGACGGGCTCCAATCGCTGATGTCCTACCATATCTGCATGATGCTGACGCTTACGTTTGTCGTCATTTTCGCTGGTCCAACGGCGCAAAAAACCATCTTGCTGGTTTGTGTTGATGTTCTGTTTCTTGTGGCCAACTCTCAGTCACTCTCGCTCTATGGCGCTAAAAAACAAAATGGCGAAGTGGGATGGGGTTGAGATGGCCTGAAATGGTAAGCGCAAAGGAGGGGAAGAAAGTTCCACGTCAGCTTTACTGGGCTGGGCATGCAATAAGCAGCCTAAACGCCGAATTGGGGCGGAATAGTTTGAGGCAACGAGGACGTGATTAAGAAGATGTGCCATCATTAAAGCTATCACTAGTATACGCTGCAACGCATGCGTACAAAACGCTATCAAAGCCGTAAACAGGGCGATATCACTTCGAGTGTGATAGGGACCATATGTGTCGCCAATGCAGTTCGAACGGCCGGCAAGTTACCCACAGTCAGCGCCGCTGTCAAGGGAGTCGCTCCTAGCAACCATCGATATCATATCTTACATTTCCTGGCTCGGCTGACATTCTACTTGACATAGGCATGAGGGAGCTATCTATCTTGGCTTCGATCACGACATTCGGAACTGGCATATCTCACAGCGCGATCTTGCCTAAACATGGCATTGTAGGCCGTAATGGAATCTGTGGCGAACCAGTTAAATCACAAAATTTACCGAACAAATTTACCCAAAAAACTTTGGTGACAGGTGGGACGCAAGCATTGTTGGGAAGATGGCACTGGCTGGCGCCGAGCAAGCAGTTAGATGAGACGATGTCACGAAAGAGACCCTCTCGAGTCACCCAAAGACCCTCAATCTGGGAACAATCTCAGGTTCCAGCTAGAGCATTGCGCTCGAGCTGGTTACATGCGCGTACAGTTAAATTGAACCCCGAAAGCTGTCGCTCCTCCCGTAAGCAAGCTTTCTTGCAATCGATCAACAATATCTGAATAACTTCACGCCCTAGCCGAGTTTCCTCCACTGGCGGTAAATATTGGGGCGAATAATATGCAGCGCCACTCTACACTGCATGCTGTAAAAGCTACGCAATTACCATTCCACCGCTGCCTATGGAGCCAACAGATAAAATCATTCCTTGCAATGCGATTTTCACCGCCACGTATTTTCATACAATATTTGTTAAAGCAACGGCTTGTCTGGTTTAAAACCAGTCCAATCCACCACCGGCCGGCCATTCGTTGGTGAATAAATGACAACCAGTTGTTCTCATCTGAAACGTCGTGGCTTAGCAAAGCGTCGAGCACAGTTTAAGACCTTGTGCGTCTAAGCTAAGGTACAATACAGCCAGTAAGTGACTGCAAATAGCGGTGCATGATGACGTGACAGTGATGAGTGAGTGTAATCGCAGACATGCGGCCTTGTAGTTTGCTTCATGCATGTTCACATTCAAACGGTTGTCATGACAGGTGCTCGTCACGTGTTGCAGAGGTAATTATGCTTTGTTGGCAATGCATTCGTTAAAATGTCTTAGGCGCAATGATCAGTCAGTCAGGTTGCAGGCATATTTCGAGTGCTCACAACGTCTAACGCTACAATGTGCCAAGCATGTGATTTTTCGGCAAATGCCCCCAGAGGCACGACTTCGGCATAACCGTGGCCAATGTTTGATTCGGTGGCACGCGTGCCAGTTCTGTTACTGCAGAGAAGCACACCAGCCTGTTCTGGCTGGCCGATATGCCCCCACCGGACAGATTACTCAGTTGAACCGTTTAGCTCAGCAGACAGGCGCGGAGACGTTCACTTCAAGTTCAAGAATGGAACAGCGTAACTTTCCAAAGAAGTTTTGTAGACAACTGCAGATAACTGCATTAATGCTCGTCGCTCGCGGTGCTTGAAGACAGTGGGCTGCCTGGCTGTGAGTCGCCAGATAACAACTCGATACAGTCACGACGGCTCTCGGAGGCACACGGCAGGCGTCAGCGCAGTTCTCGCGGACGCTGGGGACGCTTTGCCGTCAGCTTAGGCGGATGAGCTCCACTGCCAACGGGTGTGCCAGTGTCCAGTTTTGGCTCAGCTCCACGCCCCGGGAGGAGGCAGCGCAGCTGGTACTCTCGTCCCAGGGGTATAGGATACCGCGTGCGCGCAGGATAAGGTCAGTGGGACGGCGGCAGGTGCATCGCCCGAGGCTGAGCACGGGAGTCCCTGGGAACCGCTCGCTCCGCCCAGCTGGATGCTGACCCTGCGTGTGAAATGAGGAGCAGAACACAACGGTCGTGCATGAGGGTTTTGCTCACGTCACAGGAACCCTTGCAATAGCGGTTTGGTGTAGTGGAACCGGACCGTCTTTTTCTGGTTCCTGATTTTTCTGGTTTTCCTGATTCTCGGCTTGCGGTCGCCGAGTGCCCGAACGCTCTCAGCCCTTGCCCGCTGGTCTGCAACAGCTGACGTGCAACAGCTGAGTGAACGTAACGTCGCCGCAATCTGTCGCAGCGCAACCGTTCGTGAAGATGAGTAAGTATCCTGGCGTGCTATACGCACGATCTTCACCCACCGCTGGTAGTAGGAGTCCCCGTGGTGTGTCGGCACTGTCCGGTCCTATTCCATCACCAGTGACAGTCGAGTGAGCGCGGCCGCTGAGACCGCCCGTCCCCTGCCCCGTCCTCCGCAGGACTGCTGAGGACTGGTGGCAGTGCGGACCGGCCGTCGGCTGCACCCGCCAGTCCCCTGCAGGACTGCTGAGGACTGGCGGCAGTGCGGACCGGCCGTCGACTGTACCCGCTGGACTGTACTTTGAGGACCAGTTTGACTCGACTGCTCACTTTGAGGACCAGTGGACATGACCGCAAAAAAATTGTCCTCATCTCAGACCAGCGTTGACGGGTACCCGCCGCCTCGCCCGGTCCCACCCCGTGCGCCTCCCCCTCCTGCTCTATCCGCTACGCCCAGGCGCCCTGCCATGACGCGCCAAACAAACAGCTCGGCCAGGCCACGGCGCCCGCCGTCGTTAGATTGCCACCGCTGGGCGCTCGCCGACCTCGGATTATGCCCGACCGGCCACATTAGGGTGCCGTGCCGCGACGGTGGCGGCGAGGCCTGTCGATCCACGCGCGCCGCCAGCGGGGCCGCCACGGCGTTCGGCGGCGAGCGCGGCGCGCCGCCGCTGGACCGTCCGTATTGGTGGCGACGGCACCGACAGCCGCGTCGGTGGGCATCGATGAGGCGGCCGCCGATGGCGTTGGCGGCAGACGCCGGCCGGGCGGCTTGATGCCGCCTTGTGCAGGGACGAATCTTGGAAGGCGGAAGTAGTCAGGGGTGTCAAAACACGCGCGTCTTAGGTAGTAAAAGATAATTGGCGCTGAAAAATGCAGTGGCCTGACCTAGATGTAACCTAGGGTAATAAATGCCCTATAACCTAGGCTTTGCAAGTTCTGAGAGCTGAAATTTGGGCACAGAATAGCGTGGCACTTGCATGATGGTTTCTTTCCGACCAACAACAGCATAGCTACAGCCATTCAGGGAGAGGAGACCATTGGTAACTGGACAATCTAAATAGAAACGCATTCCTCCACGACTTACCACAATGTTCTAACAGCAGGATCTCTTTCTGCGCAACACTCACACGTAGCCTGAGGCACGGCAGCTTAGACGCTCAACTACTACCGCATTGCTGCAGAAGCAGTAAAGTCACATAGTTCACCGTTGCAACATATATGCAGATTCGATATGGATATGGAGATAGAATACAAGATTTGACCATGCGTTTAAACAGGCTAGCCTCCTGCCAATGAGCTCCGTTGGCAAATTTGCTCGGCATCCTTCACCCATCCCAATAGAGGACGAAATATTCTGAAAACCGCTGACATTTCCAGTCGGCGGTGTTCGTAACAAGTCCAGCCGCGCCCCTGGAAGCCTCCCAGTGCGTGCGTGCTCTCAGCACCGCCGTAGTTGGCCGCGCCGGCGTCGCTGCTGTGCCCGCCCCTCACCAGCGGGTCTGTTTCGCAGCCTGAGGTCCTACTGCTGTGCTGTCTGCCAGTCTGCTTGCTGCTGGCCGGCCAGGCCGACGCCAACATCAGCTCCTGCGTCCGGTGAGTCCATCCACGCAGCGGCGTCAGCTGTCGCTGGGTTAGCGGCGTCAGCGTCAGCTGAGGGCGCTGATGCCGCTGGCGCTGAGGACGTGTGACGACAGGCTAGCGTCCAGATGGGCGTCAGTGGCCATTTTGTTGCGATTAGCAACACATGGTATGTTTGGCAACTAGAGGCACGCGATTCGTTAACTATATAGAACATGAGTGCCGAGGTGTCTCTCAAGTTCAGCATCTCACAAAGCACGGCAAAGTTCGCTTATTGTCAACAGCGAGCGGATGTTAGCATTGAATCTGAGCGCACTCCCTAACAGGATTACGCCGGAAGCTTTATTCTGGGCTTGAACGAGAATAGCTGGATATCTGCACGACTGAACTTTACTGCCTCGGTAGTTCAGTTATTACAGTGCGGGACATCTGTCGACTCTGTCCGAGGCACGTGCAGGTTCGCGCCCTAGAAACTGCGCTTATGTGATTCGTCTGCGAAGGTAAACTGACGACTGGTGTGAAGAGTCGGGCTGCAGCTGAATCACATGTTAAAATCGCTCAGTGGAAATCATCTGCTGAACTGGCTCTCCTGCAGTGAAGACTGCAGTGTCTTCACAACAAGCTACTATCAGCCAGCTCACAGTCACAAAGAGTGTCTGCGAAACATTTGGAGCAATTTCTGAAAAACAGCGGGAGCGTTATCTGTTCGCATCAGCCAAGCCAACAGACTGCACGAGTCGCAAGCCCACCCAATCTCTTTTGTAAACGTCGCGACCGGCAATTTGCAATCAAAAGTGGAACGAAACTCGCTTAATGAAATCCCGAGAATGCGTAGACAATTAAATGTTCGATGAAAACACCGATTGTATTAGTGGTGTTTACACTCGTCTGTGACGTAATATCAAATGCGGTTGCTATGGCTGGGGCGCCTTCACCAGACGTTTCAAAACGATTGCGTTGTAACATGCTTATCGTGTTACGAGCTGCATACAAACGATATGTCAACGAGCTGGTTATGCTAAAAGTTACGCATTTTTATAAAGAAGAGACCGCTTCTCTGAGAGGGCAACATGACCCACTAAACATTGATCATACGTACAAATCTATCAAGCCTGGCGAGTGGGGTCATGACTCAGACGCATTGCCAATCGGACAAGATTTACCTGCTTTTCCTCACGACACAGCACTTGGCTAGCGGCTGGTCGCCATCACTACACTGAACTAGCAGAGCTTGTATTAAACCTGACCTTTGCACAGGAGCGTCTTCCATCCAGCGCACACCACCGTAAGCCAGGTAGTAAAAGGCGACCAAGCAACTTTTTCAGAGTGCCTTGAAAATGTTCGCACGTGTAATCGACGCATGACTGGCGGTATCTCTGCCATCGCTGTGGTAAGTTTCCTGCATACTTGCGATGTACCGCCGCCTGTGCTTGTCAGTTGTGAGCTGGCTGACAGCAACACCCCTGATTCTGGTTCTGCCGAAGCCCCGGCCAGTCAGCGCCGCCTGCAGTATTGCCGGGCTTCAAGTGGAGTAAGCCCCATGGTGCAGAGTGAGAGGCAGTCCCGTCCTCTGGCAGCCAGTTCCAGCTATCTCCAGACCTTGTTGCCTTCGGGTCATGTTAGTTGCAATACTGCGTTGGGTGCCTGGTGGGCCTTGTTTATCTGATGGTGGCCATGTCGCTGCACGAGGGCAACTACATGTTGATCAGAAAAACTGTTATCAACCAGCATCCGCGACAGGACCCTGAGCGTTTCAAGTGCGACAAAAAGCGCACTGCTCGCTCAGCGTAAGGCCTGAACAATCGCTGCCGTGCGAATTGCATTTCCTCAGCTCGAAGAGAAGGGCCCCCTGGGAGACCACCGACGCCAGCGCTGGAAGCCAATGTGGTATCGTATTTCTGGAGGCCGCGTCATGCCCTGGAGACGGCGCGTCGGCCGCTGTTTCGTCGTCCACTGACGGTGGCCTCCTTTCCAGCAACTGCGGCCAGTGCAAGAACATGTACGGCCGCTTCTTCCAGGGCACGGCCTGCGCAGAGGCGTGCCTGGCCGGCAACGACGGGCCCGACTGCTACAACCCCTCCACGGTGTCGCGCTTCCTCAAGCGACGCTCGGTGCCGGCCGCGCCTGACGCGACGCTCGGCGGCGGCTACGAGTACTACAGCGTCGACGGCCAGCCGGAGCCGGCGCCTCCGGCGGGCGGTCTGATCCGCCTTCTCTCCGCGCGCGCCTCGGAGGCAAGGAAGTAATCCCCGCCCCCGAACCATCGCCACCACCGTCGGAACTCTCCGCGACCGCTGCCGGTGCTCTGATCTCAGCTCCCGCGACCCGACGACCTGCCTATTGTGACGGTGGACCGGCCTCCGCGGGCCACTCCGCTCGGCGCGGTTGGAATATAGCCTACTTATCCGGTGCGGACGTCTGTGGCCTCGCGCGCCCGAGGCAGGTCCCCCGACCGGAGCAGTGTCTTGTTGAAACCCATGAGCCCGAGAGAAACAGATTACGAAATAAAAGTATGTACCGCCGTTCAACAGTTGATCTTTCAGCAAACACCGCGACACACTGCAAAACATGAGGGTATGGTGAGGAGGGCACGGACCACTTGAACCTGCCAAACACCATGGGTGTCAATTACTCCTTTCTCGAACTCATCCCGATAGAAACAAACGAAGAACTTACTTGCACTTTGCTAAGGTTTGGTTCCTATGATTTGAGGAAAAGCTCCCTAGACGGAGAGACATATATTCATGCAGCCCAACTCCGAAACAGAAACCGGCCGTCTCAAGCGGTCACAGTGCGATGTGGCAGACCCGGATTGCCAAATCCCAAAGTGGTGTCATATTTCGGCTTATGGCAGTTTTGGAACAGCCATATCTCAATCCAGCAACCGCAATCGTATGCAACCACTACCCGACATATTTAGCGCATGCGCAGAGGACGGTAGCGTTTGGCGCTCGCAGTTGGTCCTCCCGCGAGCTGTGCCTTAAACCTCTTACGTCTAACGCCTAACAGGGGGGGGGGGAGGGTTACGTCGTCAGCTGAAGGGTTTCGTTTTCGTTGTCGTTGTCGTCGATCGCTTTTTTCCGGTTTCGTCTCGCCGTTTCCTCGAACACGTAAGCTACATACGCAGCCTTAAGCAACACTGCCTGGCCTTAAGCCCACACTCTATCGCCTTAAGCGCTCACTTGTAGCAAAAACACGAGCACAAGCACCAAAACACGAAGCATGCCGCCCGAGTCCCCATCCCCATCTCGCCGCGAACCGGGACCCACCCCCCGCCGTTGGGCCCGAGCTCCCCCGTCGCCCGCGCCGCCGGACGGGCCATCGTTCATTCTTATAAAAAAGGGACGACAAAAGTTTTGCATTCCTGAACCCTTTTGCCATCCGCCGCGAAATTGAGCACCATGTAGGAAAGGTTGAGGAGGCCAAGGGCGCCAGTGCGACGCCCTTCATTCGGGGGCCCCCCTTATCAAAGTTCACGGCGCCCATCAGGCGCATGTACTACTAAAACTCAGCCGATTTCTAGTCCGTGACGTGGCGGTGGTCATGGCAGACCGCCTGAACACTGTTCAGGCACTGTTCACTGAACACTGTTCAGACCGCCTGAACACTGTTCAGGCGGTCGTGTACGCCCCGGCCCCCGCCGAGATGTCCGAAGAGGACATTCTCGGCGAGTGTCTCGCTCAGGGTGTCACCGAGGTGGTGCGCCTGCCGTCACGCCGTCCGGAGCTGGGACCTAACCCCTTGCTCCCATTGCGCTCCCGGGGTACGGCCCTTCCGCCGTACCTCTTGTGTGGTTATATGCGTGCGTCCCTGCGCCCGTGGATCCCCGCCCCGTAGCAGTGCGCGCACTGCCAGGCCTCCGGCCACAGCGCGCGCACTTGCCGCGCCCGCCACCCGAAGTACGGGGTATGTGCGGGCCGTCATTCGGCTCGCCAGTGCGACGCCCAGGAGCCGCGCTGCACGTCCTGCACCGGCCCCCACCCGGCATGGGTCCGTCGGGCCAGCCCGCCCTGGCTGGAGATCCGGGCAAACCTCAGGCAAAAACAAAAGAACAACGCTCCCTCCCCGCTCCTCCCTCCTCGCGCTCCCTCCCTGGAGACTGGGGCCTGGCCCACGCCAGTGGAGGCGCTCGCCCGACCCGCCCCAGCCGCCCGGGGTGGAGTGGACAGCGGACTTGTGGCCATTTGAGGGGCGCCCTCCACTGGCGCCCAGCCGCCAGTGGAGGCGCACGCCCGACCCGCCCCATTTGAGGGGCGCCCCCATGGCCCGCACCCTGGCCCGCCAGGCCTGGTTCCCAGCCCCTGAGATCCGGTCCCCGGGCCACCACCCCCTGCTTCCGCCCCCTGAGGCTCGTCTCCCTGCCCCTCAGGCCAGAACCGAGACACCATTGACGCCACCTCAGGCCTCACGGCCGTTCAGCGGCTCACGCTGTGTGCGCCCGAGAGCCGTGTCGGAACCGGGGTCATCGACGACTGGTTCCCCCCGCACCAGTCTGGGGGCAGAACCGTCAGGGTCGAGTCGGACTACCTCCCCATCCCCTGAGAGAGGACCCCGTCCCGCCCGCCCTCCCTCTCCCCCGCCCCCTCCAAAAGGACCCGCGCTGGCCACGCCCAAACGCGCTCCCGCCCCGCTGCACGAGCAGCAAGAGAGCCTCGCTCCCCTCCCCATAAATGAACTCCCCATTTAATGAATTTGTTCTCCAATGGAATACCAGGTCCCTAGTATCCCACTGGAGCGAATTCAAAAATATATCATCAAACATAAGCCAATGATTGCCGCTGTTCAAGAGACCTTTTTTAATGATCCTGATTTTACGAACTATAACTTTAATATTCGAAATTATTGCCTCAATACCGATAACGTAAATGACACACCTCGCTGTGGCGGCACGGCGCTGCATGTGTCCAACCATCTACTGCACCATCGAGTACACTTTAATACTAATCTGAATCTTACAGCAATTAACGTAAAAATCGCACAATTTGACCTCAGTCTCGTCTCTCTTTATCTATCCCCAAATAACCCTCTCCCCGCCTCCCAGCTCCCCAAACTCTCCTCTCAAATCTCCTCCCCTTGCCTAATCTTGGGCGATTTTAACGCCCACCACCGAGCATGGGGGTGTCAATCAATACAGACACGCGTCACCATGCTCCACACACCACTGCATACTCATGACCTCATATGCCCCAACAGTCAAACACCTACACACATACAACACCGAGGGACAGCCGCCAGCTTCTCTGTGATTGACCTGGCTCTCTCAGCACCACGCATCGCGTCACACTTCACTCACAACGTACAAACAGATCCGCTGTTCAGTGACCATTATCCAATTCACCTTGAATTAAAAGTCCGCTCAGGACAGGTAGATTTCCACTTCCTCCCTCGATGGAACCTCCGCAAAGCGGACTGGACCACATTTCAAAACTGTATAGACGAGGCTCACCCCCCCCCCCCCCTGAATCGACCCCTAATCTTATTGATTTTTTAAACAGTCTTCTGGCCTCTGCACACCAGTCTGTTCCACACACTCATTGTCGACCCGGGGCCAAACACGCGCCCTGGTGGAACGACGAGTGTCAGCGCGCAGTGGCCCTGCGACGCCGGGCCATGCGTGCTTTTCGCAATTGTATTTGCACAGCCCACGAGGAGGAAGCTCGCAGGGCTCGACACCAAGCTAACGTAACAATAAAACAGACAAAAAGGAAAGCTGGGAAAATTTCGCTACCACGTTTAACCGATACACCCCTCTGTCAAAAATATGGTCACTAATGCGGAGCTTCACCAATAAACGCACATATCACTACAAAATCTCATACCTCATAGTCAACAGCCAGCACTATCATGCGCCACTTGAGGTCGCCACACAGTTTACACTACACTACGCCCGCGTTTCATCGTCCGATCAATACTCCCAACAGCTCAAGAATTCGCTCAACATCACACTCCATGCACTCGACTTTACTACTGACAACACCGCACACTGTAACGCACTCTTCATGCTGTACGAACTGAGGCTGGCCCTCAGCAAGTGGGAAAACACATCGGTCGATCCAGACCAGATCGCTTATGCTTTTTTCAGAAATCTGTTTGAGTCTGGACTGCTAAATCTCCTCTCTGCCTTTGACGATATTTGGATTAATGAAAAGTTCCCTGACACTTGGCGCTCTAGCACTCTTATCCCGATACTAAAACCTCGCAAGCCTCCGTCTGATCCTTCAAGCTATCGCCCTATTTCTCTGTCAAGCTGTGCATCGAAATTATTTGAAAGAATGGTCACCGCTCGAATCAGGGCTTACTTAGAGCCCCACAATCTTACTTGCCCTTACCAAAACGGCGCTTCCGCCCTGGCCGCTCCACGGCGGACAACCTCGTCCAACTTGTTGACTCAGTCCAACGTGGTTTCCAACAAAAAATGGTTGCGGTTACACTATTTTTAGATCTTAAGGCCGCATTTGATAAAGTCAATAAGACTGCCCTCCTGATTAAACTGCACAGAATGGGAGTTCGTGGTCGACTCGCCAAATTTTTGCAAAATTTCTTAGCAGATCGAACCTTCGCCGTTCGCTGCGGGAACACGCTGTCAACGCCTGCGGAACAGGACCATGCACTTCCCCAAGGCAGCGTGGCCTCGCCGACGCTCTTTTTAATTATGATCAACGACGTTTTTAATGATTTTCATGAAATTTCACCACATCTGAACTATTCTCTTTTCGCCGACGACCTGGCGGCATGGTTTACCCACCCCAGTGTCGATCGAGCAAATCGCTTTGTACAACTTGCTCTAAATCACATCCACCAATGGTGTGACCGGCGGGGTCTTGAGATTTCACCGCTTAAATCAGCAGCACTTACTTTTTCTAGGCGGCGCGTAATCTTTGCGCCTCGAGCCCCTTTGAACCTGCATGGTCAACCCATCCCACTCGTCACCCAGTTCAAGTATCTCGGGATCACCCTGGATAGCCGACTTACCTTCTCGCCCCATTTTGCCGACCTAAAACAGCGCTGCACCCAACGACTTAATATCCTAAAATGTCTCGCCGGACGAGAGTGGGGAGCCGATAGGCGCACCATGCTCCGTCTGTATGCCGCCTTGATTCGGCCGATCTTGGACTTCAGTGCCTTTATATTTGATGGCATTTCTTCGAGCAAAATTAAGACCCTGGAAACTATCCAGAACGCCGCTCTCCGCGTGGCTACAGGCG